TTAAAATCCTTTCAGTATGTCATCTAAATATGTTAAATTTTAAAATATTTAATTTAATTTTATTTTATGTGTATGAGTGTATTGCCTGCATGTATGTAAGTGCATCCATGTCATGCAATGCCTGAGGAGGTCAGAAGAGGGCATAAGATCCCTTGGAACTGGAGTTATGGATGGTTGTTAGCCACCATGTGGGTGCTGGGAATCAAACCCTGGTCCTTACAAGAGCAGCCAGTGCCTTTAACCCCTAAGCCATCTCTCCAGCCCTGCAATTTAAAAAAAAAAATGTTTTGAAATCTTTTCAGTGACTAGCTTTTTATTGGTTGAGTTTTCTTTCTTCTATGCTCTATCATTTTGTGCTTGCTGAAAGCCCAGACACTAGCCAGTTGAGACCTTGGACTTCCTCCTTCTTTTTTAGCGTGCATACAGTGCTTGCCTAGCACTCATAAAACCCTGACTTTCACACCCTACCACCTTAGACCAAACATATATAAAGCTAAACATATACATAAAGCAATATACATGGACATGGACTTCTGGATTCCAGGGATGTTTTAGAGTTTTTCAGAGTATCCAGGTTTTCTTTTAGCATTTTTGTTAACCTCTGTTTTACCCAACTATTACCTGCTGCCTCAGGCAGTCACATGTTCAACAGCTACCTCTGATTGTTTTCAACAAACATGCCTGGGAAAAGGCTTTTGTGATAGATAGCCTCTGTGTCAGGTCAAACAAAGGCAGCTTTGTGAATGGAGTCTTCCAGGTAAACACAGAATAGATTGAATAATGACAGTTCTCAACAAATGGCATTTTAAAGGAACTCCAACCCATTTTCTTCCCTCCCATGTAAGTAGAAAGTTAGGTGGTAACAGAAAAGAAAAAAACATATACAAATATTTTATTAGTAGAAATTCTTGAATGTGAATCAGACTTGCATGTAGCAGGATAATGAATTTCTACTCTGACCCAAATTAGGATAACTAAAAGAGAAAATATTTAATAAAGGAAAGATGCCTAGTTTGGTGCACAATGAAGATGATTGGTACCTAAGAATATTTTACAATAGATACAAATAGAGATAAAGTTTGTTTCTCCAATTTTAGGATAGTCTTCAAAATTATGTGTTTTCAAAGATGTGTAATAATTAACATTTTTTTAATCCACTGAAGTCAGCCTAAATTGCGTTTTATCTGTTGTGGTCTATATCCATGCTACTACTACTTCATGTTCCTTTAATGTTACCGTATAAAATAACTGACTAGAAAATGTTAGCCTTCTTATACTTTGCTTTGTTTTAAACTGCCTTCAAGTCTTCATGTTCCCATTATTGTTTTCTCATGTGTCATTGTTGCTATTGAAAATTTCTAGGTTTGAAGAAGAAATGCAGTTATTGCCTGAACAATATTCACTTTTTAATTTCTTTTCTATGAAATTTAGGCAATGAACATTTTGACTTCAGTATTGCTTCTATATGCAAAAGAAGAAGAAGCTTTTTGGCTTCTGGTTGCTGTATGTGAACGAATGTTGCCTGATTACTTTAATCGTCGAATCATTGGTAAAACAAACAAACAAACAAACAAAAACGACATGTGTGTATATGCAGCAACATATCCATACATAGACACTAGCTTAATCTGTTTTTTGCTGCTATATCCACATGACACAGACAGTAATTTATAAAGAATAGGCATTTACTTTAAATTTGACTAGTGATTCTAAAGACTGAGAAGTCCAGGAACATGGTACTAGCATCTGATTAACATATAGTTAGGGTCTTGTTGCATCATAATGACATGGCATAAGACATCATGTGGCCAGAGAGAGCAAGTACACCAGAGTGAGCTTGCTTTTATAACAAAGCCACTCCCTTGATAACCTATTAATCCATGAATGCATTAATGTATTCATTTAGGGCAGAGCCCTTGTAACTAAAATGACTTCCCAAAGGTATTATCTCTAAATACTACTAGTCTGTGAATTGAGAGGTTAAGTTTGTAACATATAAAATTTGTTCAACCACAGGAGACTTGCTCTTTTTCTAAATAGTTTCAGTTTCTCTTGTCTATTAGGTAGGAGAGTGCTCTTTTTTTTTAAATTTTGGTTTATTGTTTGCTTGGTTTTTGCTTTTGACTGACTGTATAGCTCAAATTGACCTCAAACTAGCAATTTTCTTGACTCAGCCTCCCAAGTGCTGAGATTATATACTTGTGCCACCAAACCTGGCCTCTTATCTATTATCAGTCAAATTGAAGAGCTGGTGAATTATATTGAAAAAAACAGAGACCACTAGCAATACCAAAATGTCTCATTCGCTAATACTTGCAGGTAAAGAGCTTCTTGTACTGAATGTATAGTTGAAAAAATCATTTAATACATTACTTTTAAAAATTAAGGACCTTGTCTATTTTATAATGAAATGGAAAATTTAAGTTTCAGATCAATGTATTGCCAAAATAATGGTGATTTGCAATATCCAGAGCTACTAAGGAAATTTTTAGTAATTTCTTAATAGAAGGGAGATTTCAATTAGCTTAGCATTTCCATATTTACATGAGTTTAAATTTTTTCAAGGTAGATTCATTTGTTAACTTGTTTTGATATTTTCTAGGTGCCTTGGTGGATCAAGCAGTGTTTGAAGAACTTATCAGAGATCATCTTCCTCAGCTGACAGAACACATGACTGATATGACATTCTTCTCCTCAGTTTCTCTTTCATGGTTCCTCACACTTTTTATTAGTGTGCTACCTATTGAAAGTGCAGTCAATGTGGTGGACTGTTTTTTCTATGATGGAATAAAGGCCATTTTACAATTAGGATTAGCAATACTTGATTATAATTTAGAGAAACTTCTGACATGTAAAGATGATGCTGAAGCTGTGACAGCTCTAAACAGGTATTGTAACAACTATAGCATTTAAATCTGAAGGGGGCCTAGAGAGATGCCTCAGTGGTTAGGAGCCCTTGGTGTTCTTCTAGAAGACCCAAGTTCAGTTTCCAGCACCCATATATGGCAGCTCACAACCTTCTGTAACTCCAGAGTCAAGGGATCTGATGCCCTCTTCTGGCCTCTGTGGGCATCTGCACACACATGGCATACACACACAGAGTCACACATGCATGCATATACATGTAAATAAAAATAAATCCTAATTCAAGAGCAGCTTGGTCTACATAGCGAGTTCCAGACCAGCTGGTGCTATAGGCATACCTGGTCTCCCCCCGCCCCACCAAAAAAAAGACCAAAAACAAAAATCTTAAAGCCTGGATTGGCTCTGAGATCTTATGTGGTTCATTCCACTTAGTTTGCCAATGAGGAAACAATTAGCTTAAAGTCACAAAGCTTGGTGAATGAAAAAGTCAAGCCTCAAGTCCTTTGTCTTTAAAAAGAACATAACAAAAGTAATTCACTTTGATGTAAGCAATCAGGTTACTCACACATTTGTAGTAACATTTGTATGCCCAGTTTAGGCTAGAAAATGTGTATAAAAATCATTTGAGAGGCAAAGGTAATTAGTAATGTTAAATTATTCAGTAGGAAAAATTATTCTCATTTCCAAACGGTTTTAATCAGGTAGGTTGACGTTTATTTTCCTGGTAGATTTTATAGGAATGTGACTTTGTATTGGAGCACATGAGTTTTTGTGTATGTATATGTATATACATATATTTGTATATGTTAAATGAATGAAAATTTGAATTGGCAGCTCTTGTAATGCTCCATCAAATCCCATTCTGTACAGAATAGTGTAGGTACCTCACTTTGGCATGCAGAATTCTGTGATAATGCCTTGTTAGTCCTTTCTTAACTCATTTCCCCTTACAAACCTCTATATACCCTGTATTTCATTCTCAGTGGGCTATGAGGTATTACTAAATATGCACTGAGCCTGTTCACTTCCCTCATGTTCTTTCTCAACCTACAGTAATTTCTGTACCTATCCTGTTCCTTCTGCTCATTGCCTAATTTCCAACCATGTATAGATTTGTCTTCAGAGACTTTCCCATATGATCTCAGTTTAAATTAACATCTGACAGATTATGGAGAAATTGGCTATAATTTTCTCGGCTCCTGCTGTTTAAGTTACACTAATTCTTGTATCATTGTCACTTTTGGATAGGTTCTTTGACAATGTCATTAATAAAGATAGCCCGTTGCCTTCAAGTGTTCAGCAGGGTTCAAATATGATTGATGAGAAAAGCGGTCATAGTAGAGTGGATATTACAGATTTGATTAGAGAGTCCAATGAGGTAAGTTGTTAATGCCAAAAATATAATTACATAGCATATTGAAAATGATTGATGTTATAGTTACATCTCTAGTACTATATTAAGAGTAATGTAAGTGCAAATAAACAAGATCTAATTTCATTCTTTATTTTTTAAATATTTATTTTGTTATTTTATGGGAATGAATGTATTGCCTGCATATATTTAAGTGTACTCATGTCATGTAATGGCCACAGAGATCAGAAGAGGGTGTTGGATTCCCCTAGAACTGGAGTTAGGGACAGTTGTTTGCTGCCATGTGAGTGCTGGGAATCGAACCCAGGTCCTCTGCAAGAGCAGCCAGTGCTGTTAACCATTGAGCCATCTCTCCAGCCCCCTCACTTCACCTTAAAAATGAGTTGTGTGGCACTCACATACATGCAGGCAATACACTTGCACACATAAAATAAAAATAATAGTTGGGCGTGGTGGCGCATGCCTGTAGTCCCAGCAGGCGGATCACTGTGAGTTCAAGGCCAGCCTGGTCTACATAGTGAGTTCCAGGACAGCTGGGGCTACAGGGAGACCCTGTCTCAAAAAGACAAAAAAAATGAGTTGTGTGAATTGGTTGTATAACCTCTCCTGCACTTTGATTTTCATTATATGATACTGAATTCATTTGTTTTCACAAAGAATGATGACTTTTAAATATGTATCACTGTATTAAAAGATGAAAAATAATTCTGTTTCTATAGACTAAGAATTTTACCAGTAATTTTATTCTGGATCTAGACACATAGTAGATAGAATTTTCTCCAGTAAACATATAAATAAGAACTGAAGTGTAGGCGATAAAAATGTGCAATATCACTGAACAGATCGGGAAAATAGCTAGAAATAGAACCAAGGCCTCAGAGAATTGAATCTGATGAAATTCACTTGTAACAGAAGTAGATATTTATTATAAATGAGTATCCACTGGAATCATTTCTTACAGAAATATGGTAGTATTCGTTATGAAGATATACACAGCATGCGCTGTCGAAATAGGTTGTATGTGATTCAGACCCTGGAGGAAACGACAAAGCAGAATGTGGTAAGTATCCACCCAGTGGGGAAAATGTTGAAGTGACTTTTTGTATTCCATCTGAGTAAAATGAAAGATTCTAAACTTCAGAGATAGATTCTTGCTAAAACTGGTAACCTGAATTCCATTCCTGGAACCCACATTGCAAAAGAGAAATTTTTAGAAAAAAAAAACATGCTATTCTCTTCTGGCTGAATGATTTTAAATACTCTAATATGTTTTATGTAACATGACCTTCAGCATCTCTATAGATTTGTGATGTGATGCTGAAGTAAGAATAGCGTCAGCTGGAGAGATGGCTCAGCAGTTAAGAGCACATACTGCTCTTTCAGAGGATCTGAGTTCAGTTCCCAGCACCCATGTTGGGCAGCTCACAGCTGCCTGTTACTCCAGCTCCAAGGGATCTGATGTCCTCTTTTGGCCTCTGTTGCACTCACATGCATAAACCTACACACATGGGGTTGGAGAGATGACTCAGGGGTTAAGAGCACTGGTTACTCTTACAGAGGACCCTGGTTCGGTTCCCAGCACCTACATGGTGGCTAACAGTCATCTGTAACCCCAGTTCCACGGAATCCAATGCCCTTTTCTGACCTCTGCAGGCATTGCACGACAGGGGTGAACCTACCTACATGCAGGCATTAAAATCATACATGCAAAAATATGGATAATAAATAAAATATTCTAACCCCCCCACACGTGCTTATACACATAATAAAAATAGCAATAAAATCTAAAAATAGGATAGCTGACCTTCATAATAGTTAATGTTGCTAATAAATATTACTTGCCTGTGATACTTAAGGGAAAATACAAGTGATATAAAACAGTACTTACTCTTGATGCAGTTGGATTGCTCCATGGGAAGCAGCTAATATTTGTTTCCTCTGATTAGTAGGATGAATAGATTACTGAGCCTATGGGGAAGAAGTTTACCTTATTCTTTATATTGTTATGTACTGTTTGATTTTTATTGTTAGAATTTGATTACTTGCCTGTGATACTTAAGGGAAAATACAAGTGATATAAAACAGTACTTACTCTTGATGCAGTTGGATTGCTCCATGGGAAGCAGCTAATATTTGTTTCCTCTGATTAGTAGGATGAATAGATTACTGAGCCTATGGGGAAGAAG